GTACATCAGCCCCCCACTCTCCTTGCTCACTGCCTCTGCACGGCCATTTCTGAGTGGGCATGTGGTAGTCTCCCTGCAGCCTTCTCACACACGGACCTCTTCCATTTCCACTGGTTCTGCATTTACTTCTGGGTGTCCCTATCCCCCAGGTGTACTGGGGGTGTTGAAAGCCCTTCTCACTCTGTTTGCCTTATGGTTATATCCTGTTTCACAAGCTTCTCTGCAGGCGTATTTGCTTTAGACAGAAGTATTTAGCCGTTATCCATTTCATCTCATTTGTATTCACTGACTGACTACCGTAATGCTAGTATAAATTGAACTTCACTGAGGAGGAATATGTTTGACTAGAAAAGGGATTGATTTGGAAGTTGTAGCCTGGAAATGACTTTCCAGGCTTTAGTTTATAACTCCCAGAACATCAGTTTTGAGGGCATTTTTTCAAAACATCAAACTGAATACATTTTTTATTCTAATTAACCCCAAGTGGCAAAAAGGATTCTGTCCCCATTCTTTTATGTGACCAACTTGCATGGTGAGAAGATAAAACTCCCATCAACACATTTATCAGGGTCACTGAAACATCACATTCTCTTCCCCGCCCCCCCTCCCCCCAAAAAAGGGACAATGACAACACATGGCAATGCTGACATATGATTGAATGTGAGTTCACATTTATATGTCTTCAGATCCAAGTTCAACCTCTCTGATGTTCACCTATGTAGAAAACATGGTGTTAGTTTCGCTCAGAACAGACTGAAAGCAGAGTCCCTAAGTTTAGAACCAAATTCAGTTCAAATACTTGCAGACATTCAGGGTCTAAGGGCTGGGTTTGGCCAAAAATTTCTGCACTTGGAGCATAAACACAGGGTCAAAGATGATTGATTCAAGACAGTCTGACAAATGAGTAGCCATTAATAGAGTCTAGTAATGGACTGCCTCCGTGCTTTTCACCCAAGCGATGTCCCAGATAGAATGCAATATCTCAAGTCATCTTCAGCAAGCCTAACCAGAATATTATCTTTGTGCTCGTTTACTGACACGCATATGTATTTCCTTACTTTAGACAAATGTTCTCTCAAGTCACCATTATTTTTAGTGGAGCCAAACTTTTTCCTCAGGTCAATCATACTGTCAACTCCTTCTCTTCTCACTTCACTGATGATTTCAAAGACTTGTTGCTCAATGCTAAGGCAATAGACATCCAACTT